GGGTAGTAGGGGGAGGTCCAGAGGTCCAGATGACACCTCTCAACCCAGCAAACAGCCACACTGCAGGGAGGGGCATGGCTACAGTGCACTCATCTAAAGCATGGCAGGGTGACTCAAGACAGAGGCCCCTATTACCTGGTTATTGGAGAGACTTAGGAGTTTATTCTCAGTGAAATACTGAGCCATCAAAAGGTTTTGAGCAGACCTGCTTTGACTTACATTTTTAAAGAATCACTCTGGCTCCTGTGTTGAGAGTCAACTGTAGGAAGGCAAGGTTAGAATAGCCACAAGACACGATAATGGCTTAGGTTGATATGGAAGCAGTGAGACATGGTCAGATTCTAGATATATTTGAAAGAAGGGCCTATAGGATGTGTTAATGAATCAGATGCTGGTGATAGAAGACAGGAGCCAAGGATGACGTCAAGGTTTGTGACGACAAGAGAAGGATGGAGCAGAAGGAAACAAGACTAGGAGGTAAAAATGGCAGTGAGGAGGCTCTGCTATGGTGTATCCAGGAAGTAGAATTAATAGGACTGGGGGCTGGACTGAATGTGCAAGATAAGCGATGTGTAGATTTAAGATGACACCCCCAGGATTCCGGCTTGAAGTAGGAGTTATTATTATTGGCACTTTAGGGAAATGGGACACAAAACGTTTTCATAAACTGTCTAAGTTCTTAGAGGCTAATACTTTGTAGACTCAGAATCTGAACCCAGATGTGTCTGACGTTAGAACCTGAGCTCTTAACCATTCCATGGGGCACTTTATCCCTAGGAGAAAGAAGCCTGCTAGTTGGAAAGTACCTTTACGACAGTGTCTGTCTCTCAGTTGACTCAAGGAGACAGTGTGCAAGGAAAGTCCCCTTCGATGAGCAGGGAAGAAGGGGAAGTTAAAACGAGTGATGGGTGAACCAGGAGTCCTTTCTGTTGCCAGAACTGCATGTTACATGCTATCCTTTTGTACTCTAGGAAAAAAAAATGCTAGGCAAGTGCTAGACTGCAGGTGCAGCTTAAAATGGTATATTTTCTAGATATATTTGTAGTTTCAGTAAGGAAGAGGGTTTTCAAGTCTAGCTAAGGTGTGTCTTGAGCATTTCCTGGTAGAAAGCACTAGATTCTGTTCCTAGTTGTTATCTGCTGTAATATTTCCCTCCCTAAACTAAAAACAAGAATACAGCCCACTGTGGACCTTGCATTCGCTTGTAGCTACTGCCTCATATCTCTGCGCCCTTTTATAGCACTATTCTCTAACAAGTTGCCTATATTCTGTTGTCTCCACTTCCTTATTTCCTATTTTTATCTGTACCAGATCTACTGATACTGTGTTTATCAGGGTCATCCATGACCTTCATACTCTGCTAAATCCTGTTCTCAGAAACATTTGGCTCAACTGATCACTCCCTCCTTCCAGCACTATGTTTTAAACTCTAGGTTTTATTATTATTTATTACTATTATTTTATTTATTATTATATCTATTATTTAGGCATGGTGAGGCCAACAGATCAGGAGGTGACTGCCTTTGAAAAAATAGTTCGTTATACTCACAGATCCCAAGAGAAAGGGGCATGCCACACCATAGTGGGCCATACAGGCAAATACCAGGATCACACAGGAGGCAGAGGGTGAGGGAGAAAAGTACGCAGGAGCCTCTACTGTGGGTTCCACAGGAAGGAATGGGGCTAGTTTGTATAATTTCAGCAGACTTTGGGGGCATAGGGGTATCTGGTAACTGACCCTAGGGTGATTAGGGCAGATAGATAGTGACCCAGAGAGTGAGAGCCCAATAAAAAGGTGATTGGAGGTAGGGCTCTGGACTGGTTGGTTTGCATATGAAAGGCACACTCAGGGGACAGTTGTTTACTGTCTCTAGGAATTGGCTAATCCTGAGGGGGCAGTCCCTCTAAAGTCAGCAAGATTCCAGATGTCAAAGCATCAGAATACAGAAAATAAAAGAGACGGTTAATTTACCTTTATATCCCTTCTCTCAATCTTCTTTGCTAGTACCTTCCCTCTCAAAGACCCCTAAGTGTTGGAATGCCCCATATCTCAGTCCTTTGACACCTTCTCTTCTCTATCTCTCTTTAGGTGGTACTATGCAGAACCATGGCTTTAAGTAACACTTATGCATTGATGACTCCCAAATTTATATCTCTGCCCCAAACTTTGGATCACCAGTTGTCCAACCACCTACTAAACATCTTTACTTGAGTGTCTAATAGACATCTCAAACCAAACATATTCCAAATACAATATTTGATTTCTGCTCCCTAATCTACTTCATTCTTAGTCTTCTCCTTTTTAATAAATAGTATCTCCATTGCCCTAGTGACTCAAGCTCCGAACCTAGAAATTTTCCTGGATTTCTTTACTTTTGTCAAACTACATTTCCATCCTGTCAGCAATTCCCATCAAATCTTCTTGAGAATATAGAAGACTTAAATAAATGGAAAGACATGCCCCATTCATGGATTAAAAGACTTAAAATTATAAAGATGGTTATATTCCCCAATGGATCTACAGATTCAGTACAATCCCTTTCAAAATTCCAGCTGCTTCTTTTGTGTGGAAATAGACAAGCTGATCCTAAAATTCACATGGAAATGCAAGGGAGCAAGAATAGCCACACACACACACACACACACACACACACACACACACACACACAAAGTCTTAAAAAAAAGAAAAACAAGTTAGAAGATTCACATTTCCTGATTTCAAAACTTACCACAAAGCTTCCGTGTAATCAACAGTCTGTGATACTGACATAGGATAGACATATAGTTCAATGGAATAGAATTGAGATTCCAGAACTAAGCCCATGCATTTAATGTCAATTGATTTTTGGTGAGGGTGCTATGACAATTCAATGGAGAAAGAATACTCCTTTAAACAAACTATGCAGAGTCAACTGGATGTCCATGTGCAAATCAATGAATCTGGAGCCTTACCTCACACCATACACAAAAATTAACTCAAACTGGATCAAAGACCTAAATATAGATCAAAGAACTAAAGCTATAAAATTCTCAAAAGAAAACATAGACGTAAATCTTTGTGACCTTGGATTAGGCAATATTTTCTTAGAGATGACACCTAAAGCACAAGCAATTAAAAGAGAAAACAGATAAACTGGCCTTCATCAAAATTAAATTAATTTGTACTTTACAATTAAAACATTTGTGCTTCAAAGAACACTACCAAGAAACTGAAAAGACAATCACAGATAGGAGAAATTAATTACAAATCATATATTTGATAAACAGTTTGGCAGTTTCTCAAAAAGTTAAATATAGAGTTACCATTTAACTGATCAATTCCACTCCTACATATATAATCAAGTGATTTGGAAACATGTCTACACAGAAACTTGTACATGAATGTCATAATAGCATTACACATAATAGCCAACAAGTGGAAACAAATGTCCATCAACTGATGAATGGATAAGAAAGATGTGATGTGTTAATACAATGGAATATTATTCAGTCATAGAAAGGAACGAAGTATTGGTAATGTGTTACAGTACAGATGAGTCTTGAAAATAATATGCTCAGTGAAAGAAGCTATACACAAAAGACCACATATTGTATGATTCCATTTATATAAAATATCCAGAATAAGCAAATTGATAGAAACAGAATGGAGATGAGTGAATGCCAGGGACTGGTGGGAGAGGGAAGAAGAATTGGGGGGGTTCTGCTAATGGGTATTGGGTTCCTTTTTGCAGTGATGAAAATGATCCAAAATTAGACAGTGGTATGGGTTGCACAGTTCTGTAGAATATACTAAAAGCCACTGAATCATACCACAAAATCATCTGTGTCTTAAATATATATGTATACACACACACACATAATCCTCTATTGTATGTCAGTTATACTCCAATAAAGATATTAAAAGTTTTAATAAATTTAAGGAACCAATTTTAAAATTTTAATACATTTTTAAAATGTATAAATATAAAAAACCTTCAACAGACCCCTTCTCACCTCCACTAGCCCCACCACTCTGGTCCAAACTATTATCATCTCTGTGAAAACATTTCTTACTGATCTTTCTGCCTCCAATCTTGCCCATCCCACTCTCCTTCACAACAATAGTCTATTGTCTACACCAAAACTGAATCCTCTTTTAAAAATGTAAATGAGATCATGTCATTCTCCTGATCCAAATCCTCCACTGGCTTTCCATTGTACTCAGAGCAGCTCTGCTTTTACCTGATTTAGATGTATGGCTCCAATTGATTCCCCTTGAAGAAATGGTTCCATGGCTAATAAAATTTTGAAAGCCGCTTTGAGGACAAAAAAAGCTGACAGTGGTATACCCTGTCCCTTTTGCCTTCAACCGTGAGAAGTCCTTGGGTGGGAAAGTTTGTGAGCAAAAGTGGAAGCACGAAAGGTGAAGCAGGACTAAGTTTTGGCACCCACTCAGCTGGGTTTGCAGTTCTCTGCAATCCCTGTCTGCACCTCTTAGTAACAGGTAGTTCAAGTGATGGGCACACTGGATCACAGCACTCTAAAGAGCTTGACAACTTTACCTGCTCAGTCAACTAGCAAGTATTTATTGAGAATCCAGCTCTGTTCTGTTGAGCACTGAGTGTCCAACTCACAGAGTTCTAGTCCAGCTGGAAAAGATGATGTGCATTATTCATCTGATGAACAAGACTGGTTTTCAAGGGCCTACACTGAAACTATGGAAGAAACAGAAAGGTACAGATAACCAGCTGTGTGGGTAACTCATGAGCACTGGTTCATATGAGCTTCTAACTTGGATCGATAAAGGGTGCCTCGCTTCTTCTTTCCCCATCTCTCCTCTCCTTTAGGCAATCACCCTTTAACTTCTTTTCCCAGCTCTACTCCACCATGGTCCACTGCCTCCCCAAAAGATTTGTTTACCAGTCATTTCCCTGTTCTGTTTTCAGAAGTGAGCAAATGACCAAATCATGAGACCCAGAAAAACTGCAGAAGGCCCTGAGACTTTCAATTGTCTGTTTCAGATCCGGTACAGAAAATGTTCCTTCTCCTGCTAATTATGAGCCTGGGAATGCCGCTTCATCAGACAGCAGGTAAGAAAGGTCCAAGGGAGGAGCCTGAGAAAGAGGAACAGGTGATGACCCCTAGCTGAAGCCAAGGATGAGAATGTAGTCCTTGAGTTGAAGGCTTTCTTTGAGAGGAAGTGTGATTACCAGCTATTACAAGCACAGCCAAAAGAATGGTGCCCAGGGTGGCATGTGCATACCCATGTCCCTGTCTTACAGAAACAGGGACTAAGAATCCATCTATCCCCACTTTCCAATAAAGGTAGTAACAAGAAGACAGGACCATTCAGGCCATGCACCTCTGAACTGACACAAGAGGGCATGGGTTGAGTGTCCTGAAAGGTGAGCTGCCAAGAAGCTGTCCTTTTTTCTTCTGTCAGGGACAGTGAGGAGACAAAGGTCAGGGGGACACCTCCGCTTTTAAAAACCAACAGTAGGGCTTCCCTGGTGGCGCAGTGGTTGGGAGTCCGCCTGCCGATGCAGGGGACACGGGTTCGTGCCCCGGTTCGGGAGGATCCCACGTGCCGCGGAGCGGCTGGGCCCGTGAGCCATGGGCGCTGAGCCTGCGCGTCCGGAGCCTGTGCTCCGCAGCGGGAGGGGCCGCGACGGTGGGAGGCCCGCGTACCGGGGGGGGGGGGGGGGGGGGTGGGGAAAGCAACAGTAGCAACCATGGGTCATTCACACATTAATGTGGATTACTTGAATTGGAAACTCAGAGTCTTCCTTGTACCTAAATGAATAATGAACCTTAAAGCTATGCCTTTGGATTTTGGAGAAAGATATTCTACTGGAGGGTGTGGGTAGCAAGGAGGAAAGCAGTTTCAGAGTTTTGCTTTCCTGGGGAAGGTAGTTTAGACTATTCACATATGCGGTCAGGACCATGAGTGCATTATAGTGGGTGAACACCATTAGGTAAGAGAAGAGGACAGAGGTGGACAAAGGGGGTTAGGTCCTCTATGATAACAGCCCCGATCCCATGGGAAGTCATCCAACATTCTGCCTTTCATTGAGAAAGAATGCCTTCTTTGGCACTGATAACTTTTTGAAGAGCTTTTCCCTCTCTTCCAGGTGATCCCAGTCACGTTTCTCCCCCTCCCTTGGGCTGCTCAGCCTGGTCTGGCATTAGAGACAGTGATTTGGGGCCATCCTTGGAGAACACCCCAATATTCTGCTTACTCCAGGCCTGCCCTTGCAGTGGCAGCTAAAGGAACACTTGATATTTCCTTTCTAAGAGACCCTGCCCTGCTGGGATTTTTAGAGACAGGCAAAATTAACTCTTTCCTTACTTGAGTGCTCTGTGGATGCTCTACCATTTTATCTATAAAATAATTTAAAGATTGAAGCGAAAAGCTATTGGAAAATATTTTCATTTCACTTTTTAAATATTTATTTTTAAATTGACATAAAGTAAAATTTTACTCTTTTTTATAAAAGCATCTATGAGTTTTGACAAACGCATAGTCATATAGCCACCACCACAATCAAGATCCCGAGCAGTTCTATCACCAAACAAAAACCCTCCTCCAACTTTTAAGCCCAGGTACTCACCGATCTATTCTCTATCCTGTCATTGTAACTTTTCCAGAATGTCATATAAATGGGATCATTTATTAGATATTCTTTTTGTCTGGCTTCTTTCGCTTAGCATAACGCATTTGAAATTTATCCATATTGTTATATGAATCAATAGTTCATTCCTTTTTGTTGTTGAGTAGTATTACTCTGTAGGTACACACCACATTTTGTTTATTCATTTCCCTCTTGAGGGACTTTTGGGTTGTTTCCTATTTTTGGCAATTATAAATAAAGTTGCTATAAACATTTGTATATAGGTTTTTGTGGAAGCATAGGTTTTCATTTCACTTAGGTGAATACCTATGAGTGGGATTACTGAGTCATATGGTAAGTACATATTTAACTTTATAAGAAACCATCAAACTGTTCTTAGAATCTGTACTGTTTTTGCATTCCCTCCAGCAAAGTATGAGAGTTCCAATTGTTCCACATCCTTGACAGCCCTTGGTATTGACATTGTTATTTTTCTTTTTTAACTCATTCTGGTAGGTGTGTAGAAGTTTCTCACTGTGGTTTAATTTGCGTTTCCCCAGTACCTAGTGAGGATAAACATATTTTCATGTGCCTATTGCCCATTCATATATCTTCTTAGGTGAAGGGCATATCAAATCATTTGACTGTTTTTAATTGGGTTATTTTCTTATTGTTCAGTTTTGAGAATTCTTTATATATTCTGGATACAAATTCTTTATCAGATATGTGATATACAAATATTTTCTCCCAGTCTGTAGCTCATCTTCTCATTCTCTTTTTTTTTTGGCTGTGTCGGGTCTTAGTTGTGGCAGCAGGATCTTTGTTGAGTCATGTGGGATCTTTTGTTGCGGGGAGTGGGCTTCTCTCTAGCTGTGGTGTGCGGGCTCTAGGGCGCGTGGGCTCTGTAGTTGGCGGCATGCAGGCTCTTTCATTGAGGCACGCGAGCTCAGTAGTTGTGGTGCACGGGCTTAGTTGCCCCGAGGCATGTGGGATCTTAGTTTCCCAACCAGGGATCGAACCCTCGTCCCCTGCATTGGAAGATGGGTTCTTTACCACTGGATCACCAGGGAAGTCCCTCTCATTCTCTTAACAGTGTCTTTTGCAGAGGAAAGATTTTAATTTTGGAGATACCTAATTTATCAAATTTTTTCTTTGATGGATTGTCATATCTAAGAACTCTTTGCCTAACCCAAGACCTGAAAGATTTTCTTCTGTTTTCTTCTAAATACTTTATAGTTGTACATTTTACATTTAGGTTGACCATCCATCTTGAGTTGATTTTTGTATAGTGTGAAGTATAGGTTGGGGCTTTTTTTTTTTTTTTTTGCACGTGGACATCCGGTTGCTCCAGCCCCATTTGTTCATTTACTGAAAAGACTATCTTTTCTCCATTGATTGCCTTTGCACCTTTGTAAAAAATCAATTGTCCATATTTGTGTGGGTCTTTTTCTGGCCCTTCTGTTCTATTGATCTATGTATATATTCTTTCACTTATATCACTCACTCTTTTATTACTGTAGTGTTGTAGTTCAATTTTTTCCTTATATTTTCATTTCAAAACCTAAGGACATCTTGTTACCCAAACACATTTAAGGGGAAATATTTATTTTTGTACTTTGTCATGTCTTGAAGGAAAAAGTAACCCCAGTCTTATGTCTTTCATTGATGTCTCCTTCTTTCTTCATCCACCAGAGAAGAATAAAACCCAGGAAGCCCATGACCAGGGTGATGCTTGAGGTCACTCTAGGGCAGGGACCACACCCTGGGTCACTCCACTTAGCCTATAGCTGACCTCCAAAACTATATCTGCTGACCCCTGAGGTATAGAAAGTAGAAGAATCAGGTTGGGGAAGGGATTTCTAATAGACAAGATGTCTCATGCAGCATTCCTGCTAAGAGAAGTGCATGCATCAAGTGATCAGAGCAGCATCTATTCTAAACCAGGAACTAGAGCTTTCTGAAGGCTGGCTGTGTAAAGCAGTCCCCCCTCCCCTCACTGCCTACACCCATCCTCACCTTTCAAAATACCTTAAGAAGTCTGTAAACACTTAAGCTTCTGTTGTTAATGGGGAAAAAAGGTATAAAATTAGCTTAAAGAGGAAGCTATCTTGGTAGGTAATGCAAATAAATTGTTTTGTGTTTCCTGGAGATGTGACAGGTCTGACTCCATCGATGCCCTGACTGCAAATAAAAGGCGAACTTCCCCCAAGAACTTTCAGAAAGGCTCCAACATTACTCAAGCCAGCTATTTTAATCTGTCTAAAGAACGTGCATTTATTAATTTTTCATGCTCTGGCCAAGTCCTTTGCCCTTTAATTTAGTCAAGATGACCAAATGAATGTTTTACTGGCTTAATTTTCAGTTGTGGAAACTTTCCAGTTTTCTCCTTTGTCTGATGACATCAGGAGTTCAATCCTAGGTTGGAGTTTAATTTAATAACCATGTGACATATGAAATAGAAAACAAATGTCTTTTCCTTATTATAAAGCTGGAAAGTATATCTATTTCATTCATGTATGTAGTATACACATGCCAGTAGATATATAGTCCTATCTGTTAGAAGTACAAGCTTTCAACACACAGAGATATGAATTTGAATTCCAACTCCATGAGCTCCCACTTTTTTACTTTGGGCAGGTTGTATCATTTCTTTAAGCCTCAGTTTCCCCATCTGTAAAATGGGGGTAGTGACTCCTACCTTGCAGAGTTTTGGGAACATGAAATGGTGATGTACAGTTTAGCCCAGTGTCTGCTTCATTGAGTTTAATAAATGTTATCTTTCACTCTACTTCCCAGTCACAGTCCAAATGCAAACCAGTGTTATAACTCTGTTTCTCAGATGTCAATGTGCATGTGAATCACCCCAACCTTGTTAAAATGCAGATTCTGCTTCTCTAGGTCCAGGGCATGGGCTGAGATTCTGCATTCCTAACTAGCTCCCAGGGAAAACTGAGGACAACACTTTGGATGGCAGAATGGTAAAAAATGTTTGCAAGTGCAGGTGTTTTATTTGTCCAGCCAATGGTTTCTCAATGCTCCCTGCACCTTAGAAACTCCTAGGGAATTTTTTTTTTTTAATTGATGCTGGCCTCACAAAATAATTAGAATTTAATTTTAGAGGATCCAAAGTGGGGTTTGAGCATTAGTGTGTTTTAAAAGCTTCCCAGGTGATTCTTATGATGCAAGGTTGAGGCCCTCTCATTAGTGATTCTAATGTGCAGCCAAGCTTGAGAAAAACCTCTTCACAGAATTGCTTGCAAGAGTGTTTTGATTTCCTCTGTAGTTTACAATAAGTAAGAATATTTTAGTATTGCATTTCCTAAACTTGTCATTTTGTATCGAGTAATCAAGCTCAAAGCTTTGCATGTCTTACAAGCTTTAGTTGGGGCAAAATAGACCAACTAACAATTAATCTTCTAGTTATTCTGAGCGACTCAGATATGTGATTCATCTTTGCCAATTGCTCTTTCCTCTTGTGAACATTAGATGGAAAATGTCACCTGCCTGAGAGGTAGCATACTTTATGCTTCCAACCTCTGTATATACACACACACGCTGCACAAGGCGGAGGGGAAAAGCAAGCAGAAAACGGATTTTTTTTTCAAAGGCCCAGACAGTGAAGAGGGAAGTTCTGCTGTATGCTATGGGGAGTTCCAGAGGAAGTTAGAGGCGTTCCTTCTCTCATGAGAAGAAAGTATAAGTGTGGTAAATAAATCTACTAAATAAATTCAATAGAGACTACACCCAAAGTCCTCTGATTCTTGTTAAATCTCAGGCTCAGCAATTAACCTTCCCTGCAAGCCCCATTTCTCTTCCCTGTTTCTTGTTACATCATGTGTAATAAAATAAGAGAAGGAAATACCATGAGGAGAGTAAAAGTAGTGTAAATTCCTGAACCTGGTGCATAGAATATGGTTAATACATATTAGAGAATGAATAAATAAATATTATTCTCCAGGGTAGAGTGGATTTGGTATCAGGCAGCTCTGTTTTAATTATAAGGGGACTTAATAACTCAAGTATTTGGAGATGATTCTAATCATAAAGGAATCTACTTTAAAGAGTATCCTATTATGGAGACACCAGTGAGAGTTATTACAAGTGTTCAGGGAATTCCACAAAATGGAATCATGCGGGAAATTCAGAAGCATGGCATCTTTTCTCACATGTATCGTCCCAGAGTCTTCTCAACCTGGCCAAGCAAATGCTGAATTGGCATTGTTTTACACAGAAGCACTCACATTGTAGCCTGCCCCCACCCCCATCCTGCGCAAAAGAATACCAGGCAGCTGTGAACTCCTTTTTGTATCATAGATCTCTGTCAGAAAGGCACGCTAATGTTCTAGTTGTGGTTAAAACAGGGGTTGGAGGCAATATATAAGCTCGTCATTAATTTTTGATAAAAACTCAAGTGTGTGCACTACACTGTCACCTGTGCTGGGTGGTGATTAAGAATGACAGTTTGGGGCTTCCCTGGTGGCACAGTGGTTGAGAGTCTGCCTGCCAATGCAGGGCACACGGGTTCGTGCCCCGGTCCGGGAAGATCCCACATGCCGCGGAGCGGCTGGGCCCGTGAGCCATGGCCACTGAGCCTGCGCGTCCGGAGCCTGTGCTCCGCAACGGGAGAGGCCACAACAGTGAGAGGCCCGCGTACCGCAAAAAAAAAAAAAAAAAGAATGCCAGTTTGTGCAATTTGGGGCAAGTTGCTGTTTGATGAGAGGAAAGCAAAAGTGAATATGGGGAGGCTCATCCTTTTGTTTCTCCCTCTCCCCGTTTTTGTCATTTTATGTTAAACCCTTAACTGGAATTTAGTATGTGTTAGGCACTGGAGACGCCAAAGCAAATTCAACCTGGTCACTGCCTTCAAAGATTTGCAGGATGGTAGGAGGAAAAACTCCAGTCAGAAGAGAATTATGATGTGAATCACTGAAGCAACAGAAAACCCCCGAACTATTTATACTGTGAAATCTGTTATCCAGGGTGGTCCGAATACCACTTTCTCAAGAATTAAAACATTGTACAAAAGAAAGTTTGCTGACTACCTGCCAAAATAAGGCACTTCACATGTGCCCTTTTGTCTAGTTTTCCCCACAATGCTGACAGGTAGATGTTATCTTCGACCTTTACAGATAAAGAGGCTGAGACTCATAGAGTTTAAATGGCATGATCAAGATCAAAGGGCTCATAATCCTGATATAGTCAAAATTTGAACCCAGGTTCATCTGTCACTAAATCCCAAGCTCTTTCCATACCACGTTTTATGTGGAAACAACCACTCAAATAGCATATTCTTAGAAGCCATCCCCAAATATAAGTGGATGTTTTGACTGATTAAATGAATGGATTAATGAAGTAAGCTCTACTGAACATAATTTGATCTAATCTTCTGTCACAGTTCAGAAGCTACTTCGAGATCCTACACTCAGTCTTAATGACTAACCACTCATTAGTAATGGAAGCAGCATAATTTTGTACAATTTATTCATGCATACACTACTTTCATTAGTTTTGCCATGTTTGACTACTCTTTGTGCTATTGTTTTTATAGAATTATCTAAATCAACTGAGCTTTTATTTTTTGAACAAAACAATCTACCCTTGTGGTAAATGGAAAACCAGTATCACTGGTACAGGTAAATAGAGGATATGAGCAAAAATAAATGCAATGAAAGTAAAGTGGTGCTATTAAATTCTACCCAGATAATAATATCTGCCTGAGAGCTTCTTGTTCTATTAAAAGGAAAAATAGGGCTTCCCTGGTGGCGCAGTGGTTAAGAATCCACCTGACAAGGCAGGGGACACTGGTTTGAGCCCTGGCCTGGGAAGATCACACATGCTGCGGAGCAACTAAGCCCGTGTGCCACAACTACTGAGCCTGCGCTCTAGAGCTTGCGAGCCACAACTACTGAAGCCCACGCACCTAGAGCCCATGCTCTGCAACAAGAGATGCCACCACAGTGAGCAGCCCATGCACCGCATTGAAGAGTAGCACCCGCTTGCCACAACTAGAGAAAGCCCACGCACAGCAACGAAGACCCAAAGCAGCCAAAAATAAATAAATAAAATAAAATAAAAAGAAAAATAACCATTGTTAGAGACGTGAGAGTCTAGTTGCAAATTATATGTAATTTGAAGGATTGGAATAGAATTGAAGAGGGAATAAATTCCTCTCCGAATAATCCAACTTCCTTTGGGCCTTGATTCTGCCGTATCTAAAATCATTTTGCATACTTCTAGAAGTATGTGCCTCACGTTTTGGGAAATACTGTTTCAAAGACTACAGATTTTGAAGTCAACCATCTGACTAGCTCAGAATTTTAACTTTACTAACTGTACATCCTGGAGCAAACCTCTTTGACCCAGTTTCCTCAACTATAAAACAGTAATGATAGTACATGTTTCATGCTTGTATTTTCAGTATTAAATGACATAGGTTTTTTAAAAAACATTTATTTATTTAGCTGCTCCGGGTCTTAGTTGCGGCACTCGGGATCTTCATTGCTGCATGCGGGATCTTAGTTGAGACATGCAGGGTCGAACCCAGGCCCCCTGCCTTGGGAACGTGGAATCTTAACCACTGGACCACAAGGGAAGTCCCAATGATATAGTTATAAAGAGCCTAGAACAGTGGCTGGCACATAGTAGGTATACACTAAGTATTAGTTCCATTCTTTCCTCTTATTGACAGAAAAGACGCTTCTACAGTAGACTTGTATGATATGATGGTTAAGAGCGCTTGAACTTAACAATACCTGGGTCTGATCCTGGCTGTGCAATGTTAGGCAAGTTGCTTAACCTTTCTGTGTCTCAGTTTCATTTTCTAAAAAGAAGATAGCTCTACGTCACTGGCTTCCTGGGGGGACTAAAAGAGATCATGTGTTAGCAGAGGCCTAACACCTAGTAAGAACTCAATGGGTGGTAGTTATTATTACTATCACTGGTGAGAGGAGGTAGAATTTGGCAGATAATGATGTAATTTGACCCATATGAAGAAAATGAGCCTGGATAATAGGGGGTAGGAAGGCAGTCAGCTGCACAGGTGAGGAGTGTTGAGAGGTGAGAACTACCTCAGAGCAGATCAAGAATTCTACTCTTTCCCAGAATGGATGAGGGTAAAGGAGAGAAAGGAACCTTCACAAATGCCCAGATAATGACAGGTATCTCTTGGGAAACGGGGGTGGGATAGGTCTCCTCAGGTCCCACTCTGTACAGAACTGAAATGTGAAGGCAGACAATCTGAGAATGTCTTATTTTCTGTTCAGCTTTATTCACAGTGACGGTCCCAAAGGAAATGTACACGGTAGACTATGGTGGCAATGTGACCTTGGAGTGTGATTTTGACACCGGAGGTCATGTGGAACTCGGAGATTTAAAAGCCAGTTTGCAAAAGGTGGAAAATGATACAACCTTGCTCAGTGAAAGAGCCATTTTGCTGGAGGAGCAGCTGCCCCTGGGGAAGGCCTTGTTCCACATCCCCCAAGTCCAAGTGAGAGATGCAGGGCAGTACCGCTGCCTGATCATCTATGGGATCGCCTGGGACTACAAGTACCTGACTCTGAAAGTCAAAGGTGAGTAGTTTCAGGGACTGGAATACATGGAGGCATCTCTCCAACACAAGACCTGCATTAGCTGCAAGTAACAAGCTCAAACCAAAACTAGGAGGATGGCTATAAAGAGACAGAGATACCTCAGAGAAAACAAAAGCACCTGCTCAGAAATATTTTTTGATATCTGAGTATAAAGCAGTGGAGGTTAGGGTAAATAGGGGTAGAGAGAATAAAACTGGTCTAGAGAAAGCCAGGAAAATGAGTCCCTGAAAGGTGGGAGAGTACCAAAGATAAGTTTTGCCTAATTCACAGGAACAATACTGACTTGATATTAAACTACTCTTTCAGAGTCCAGAGTTTTTTAAACCATGATTTGCCACTCATTAACAGATTAAAATATTAGTTTAATGAGTAGCAACCAGGTGGGTGTTTTTTACCAATAAAATGAATGAACCGAATGAATAGAATAGAATATATCAGGGCATCACATAGTAGGGATTAGTGTTGTTTTGTGAAACACAAATTATTTCAGAGGGGTGTGTGTGTGTGTGTGTGTGCGTGCGTGCGTGTGCGTGCGCACGCGCGTGTGTGTGCATCTTGGCTCGTGGTGTGATAATTTTTTTCTCACTCTGGGTCATAGTCTAAAAAGTTTGGAAAATGCTACTCTAGTCCCAGCCTAATCTATTGCACATGAAACAGCTGAAGTCCAGAGAACTGAAATGGGTAGCTTGAGGGAGCCAGTGAATCAATAGCTGTCCCCATTCCTCTGGGTTGAGGGCTCTCTCCACCACAACACGAGCCAAGAACCTAAATCTGAAGAGAATCTTCAAGTTCTTGTTTGTTCTGGGAAAGGTCATTTGAGGAAAGACATATAACAACTGTAGAAGAATAGATTTGACTCTGTTCATTGGCTTATGTTTTTCAGCCTTCGCTGACTGGTCTGAGTTAAACTATGCCAGTTTTTCTCTGTCCCCTCCCTATTCCACACATTACACTCAGAGGATATGTTCTGTCTTCTGGAGGGTCTGTGGAGTTTGGTCCCTAAAGACCATTGACCTTGACAGCAGTGGGGTGACTTTATGATCTGGTATAAAGAAGGACAAACTAGAATAATTAGACACGAGGTTGAATGTTGTTTTCACCTGACCTTGGGCAGGTTATTTCACCTCTCTTAATCTAGCATTTTTCTTATTTGTAAAAGAATAGCAATAGTAGCATCTACCACATAGGATTATTGTAAAAATTAAAAGAGATAATGAACACAAAGAGCTGAGTATGGTGCTTGGCATACGGTGAGTGCCCAGAGGTTTGGATCAAAGACCCTCAATTACTGCAGGGATGGTGCCCTCTTACATCTCAACTAATAGTGAGTCATCAGGAAAGCCCTTAGCTGGATGTAACTGCCTTCTATCTTTATTGCATTTCCTACAAACAGGCATCAACTGGGAGGAACTCCAGAGCATTGAAGTTAGTCTGAGTTCAGTCAACTGGAAGAGAGAGGGCTCTACATCCTCACAATCCCCTAGTGTACTTGGGTATCTGCACCCCTAAATCACTGCCCCATGTTTGTTGATCTCTATTTGAGTGTTATAATGCACCTAGGGTCTTTGGGCAATTTGGTACCAGTCCCCCTCTTTCTTGCTCGGGCTGAGGGATGTCCCTCATCCATGGGAGGGCACTCTGCCTGCTTCCTCATCTAGACCAGGGATGAATCAGGTGAGGAACAGATTTATTCCTCAAACCTTAATTAATTAATTAGTTAATTAATTCCTTAAGCCCTTAATGATCTTCCAGCTAGAGTATATGGGATCACAAAGACTTTCTATGAGATGCATAGCATAGGCGGTTTTAGGAAATTAGTTTCTAGATCTTCATCTTCCCCAAGTACTCGTTCCCCAAACTGAGTGTGCCTGAGAATATGCCTTCCAGGCAAGGCTCTTGGGGTTCTCCTAAAATGCTTCCTCTTTTATTTTTGCTTTACCCACTTCATAAAAAGGCTCCCTTTCACCCATCATGAATACAGTGCATTGCCCTGAGGTATAAAATCCTCCATAGTGATAAACAAAAGAATGATTGGAAATATTGATACCATACCAAATTGTAATGACTAACAAATCCTTCTGCAAACCAGGAGGTATCAAATTCTGTTTTCAACAAAATTGAAGGAGGCCCTAATAGAGTTAACAGCTGATAATAAAAAAATAAAGTAATTTTTTGTCGTATAAATCATAAGGCTTTCAAAGAATGAAATGATATTACTATAACCGAACTTCTTCCATTCCCACCTATTTATTCATATGAGCAAGATTCCTTAGCCCTTATAGCTACAAAAAATGAAAAATAGAAATAGAATTGATGCTGAACCTTGTCTCATTCCAACCATAAGTCATATGCATCCTCAGATTCATGAACAGATTGAAAAAGAGAGCCCCATCCATCCCATTAAAAGATACATTTCCAGTAAACTTTTTTATGTTTAATAATTATCAATATTCATAATATTTTATGTTTTGATTTTACATGTACTGATAATAATGGAAATTAGATTTCAATGCAGAAGAAAACTTTGAACACTTAAAGCCTCATGGTCACAAGAAAAAAAATTTAATTTCAATAGCTATACATGTTGTTGCAAAGAAACAAAAGGATAATCACCAAAAGAGTGTTCAAACATGTTGCATTAGAATAAAATTCTGCAGAAGTGGAATGGGAACTGATATTCGAGGAATAAAAAGAAACAACGTAAAGTTCTGACCATTAGAGAAGAATTTTTATATGTATTTTTCAATGGATGGTGGTGTGTATGAAAGACACCTTCTTTGATTTCTAGGTGACATTGGATGCATTTGTAAAGAGTGAAATAATTGCCTTACTAAAAATATGTGTTTATAATGGTCTAAACATTGTATATTTTTCCAATATAGAAACCTATGATATATTCTAAGAATGAACTTAATAAATGTGTGAGAAGGAGCACACTGCATCACGATTGTTTTAGGAGAAATGCAAACAAACAAACAAAAAAAGATTGAAGACCAGCACATAAGGATATTCTACCCAGATGAGGGGTGTCTGAAGGAAGCAGGGGAGATCTAGGACTCCAGTTAGGGTGCGCTTACATAGAACAATACTAGAGGAAGGATGTGCTTTGTCCTTAAAATGCCTAAGTTTTGGCATACACCTTGAAAATAGGTTTATAGCATTTTATTTGTTGTCTGGGCAACAGTTCATATTAAATATAGTGAAAAGAGAATTGATTTCATAAGGACAGGGAAAAAATTGCTAGGTAGCATGGCTAGAGAGTCTAGAAGAGACAATAACAGAAGGCTGCAGTTTTTGAAAGGCCAGGTTGCAACCCCAAGGCAATTAGAAATCTGTCGGAAGAAGGCCAGGGAGCACGACTGAAGAAAAGGGTACAGAGGCCCTGAGAAGCCAGGGATTGAGCCCACAGGTTGAGAACTGGCCTGAGCAAGGATCCCAGATAGACACAGAGCAGGTACTAAGAACAGAAGGGCCAAACCAGCCTGAAGGCGTGAGCAGGCTGAGGCTTACAGACATACTTTAAATCAACAAAAAGGCCCAAGATAGATAGAGTACAACTTAAACAAGTGGAGGAAGGTGGCAGCATAGTTTCCGTTTCCGCAAGAGAAATGGCCTTCACCCTAAAAGGGGAAGTCAGATGGCAGAGGGCATAGGGAGGAGAACAGCCCGAGAGAAGCAACTCGGTAGTGAAATGATGTCTGTACATTTAGCCTCTAGGCCCAGAGAAAGCATTTGCTAAAAAAACTTACTAATGGGGCTAAATCTGCTCTCAGTGTCTTTTCTCCCTTGGGGAAACTGAAGGGAATAAGGAAACCCTGAGTTAAGAAAACAATATCCTGAATTTTGAAGGGGAGAAAGCTCCTGGGAATTACAAACTGTTTAACCTGATGTTCCTCCCCAGGCCATTTAACAGACCAATTGAGAGCCATCCTAAAAGATTTCTTTCAGTGACTACTAGAAACCTGTCAGGATTCTCTAAGATTAATGCATGTAAAACTACATTTTTTCACCTTAGTTAGGGTCATTATGATGATAAAGCAGATGATACTATGTGCAGTAGTAAAGATAATATAGTAGTAAAACATATAGTAAAGATAATAAAGCTTATCTTTATTTCAGAAATGCTAGAGTTGCCAGTAACATTTGAATTATAGAGACAACTGGGATAACAGAAACCATTTAAACCAATGGAAATTGAAACCAGAAAATAGTAATTCTTTTGATGGAACAGACTGAGAAGCCAAATGGGGACTAGGGAGGCAAATCACCAGTTAGCAAAAGCAGGAAGCTGCTACCACACTGCTGGGATGGAGGAACAGGGGGAAGGCAGGGTTAATGGGCCCAGGGGTGGAACCCAAGTGGGCCTGTCCAGTGGTATCTGGAGCCAGGGAAGAGCTGTGGCTGCTGCTGGAGAGGCCTTATAGCATAGAGTATGGGGGAGAAACACTCATTCTCCTTCCTCCTGCTAACTCTCACATCTTCCCGAATGCCTGCTGTTGGCTGTCACGAGCCTGGGATACACAGCCTGCAGGAGTCAGCCTTCCCGCCGTATAGAGCAGAAACTGAAGGATTGATCTAAGAGCAAACAGGCCCAGGACCCACACAGCACACACCTTGTGCATAAAATGGTAAAACATGGGATGAATAATAGTGTAGTTGACTGGATCTATAACCGACTGAACAAGTAGTAGTTGTTGACTAAGGGGCAACAAAGGTCTTGGGTCAACCTGGAGACCATCTCCAAGTGATAAGGCGTCTGTTATAGCCAACCTAGCTGGGCAGTAGATCACTCAACAAAATCGATCTTACGACCTTAGGCTGCTTTAAAACCCTGTGTTGGGCCTGAAGTGTACTCAGCACATAGGAAATAATTAGTCACACTACACTTTGTGCTGCTTAGATAATATCTGGAATATAGGTCATGTTACACTGGCAAAAACAAAGTGTATCCGAAGAGTGCTATCTGGAACTGGGGCTGA